CTGTTCTCGGAACCTACCCCGACAGCGGACAGCACGTTTTGGCCGGTCGCTCCTGGCAAGAAGCTGGGTGAGGCGCAATCGCAGCTGTTGGTAGCGGACTGGTCTGAAGCGGAGGTGAAGGAGGCCCTTGACGGCATGGCGAAGGGCAAGTCTCCCGGCGCTGACGGAATCCCGAAGGAGTTTTTCAGCCAACACTGGGACTCGCTAGGGGGTGATGTGCTCGGATTCGCGAAGCAGTTTGAGGAAACGGCCGTTCTTCCTCCTGCTGCCTTGGAGGCTGTCACTGTCCTGCTGCACAAGAAGGGCGCGAAGGATCAAGTGCAAAACTACCGGCCGATCACGCTGCTCAATAGCACGTACAAGTTAGTAGCGCGGGTGCTGGCGAACAGGATGCGGAAAGTGTTGCATACGGTCATTTCGGAGGAACAGTTTGGGTTCTTACCAGGGAGAAGGCTGGCTGACGGGGTTTCGCTGGTTGCGGACATCGTTGACGCGGCGAAGTGCAAAGACGCGGATTGGTACTTGCTTCTGGTGGACTTCCAGAAGGCTTTCGACTCGGTCTCTCGGGAATACCTTTTCGGCACGATGGCGAGGATGGGTTTCCCGCGGAAGTTCGTACAGTGGTGCGAAGGGCTCCATGCTGGATCGACGACGAGGCTGTTGCTGAATGGTTGGCTGGGAGAACCGGTGGCGGTCAGGAAGGGCGTACGGCAGGGCTGCCCGCTGGCACCCTATCTCTTCCTTTGCGCGGTGGAGCCCCTCTGCCAGGAAGCAATAAGGAGGAAACTGGGAATCAGTAATCCGTACGGGGATCGGCTTGCGTACCTGGGGTATGCCGACGACACCACGCTGGTGCTCAAAGGGAAGAGGCAGATTGGCCGGGCGGTGAAGCTGCTGAATGAGTTCGGTGAGAAGTCAGGTCTTTGGGTAAACAACGACAAGTCTGCACTCCTGCCCCTGGGAAAGAACCTGCGCAAGAAACCAGACAAGGCGTCAGCTTTCAAATGGGTACGGTTGAACGAAGCGGAAAGAGTCCTGGGGGTGTGGATCTCACCCTCGGGGGATGCATCGGTGACCTGGGAAATCACCCTGTCACGTGCAACGGCGGAGCTGGTGGAATGGCAAATACATTACCTGACGACATCCGGAAGAGTCGCGGTGGTCAACGGGTACATCAACCCAATCCTCGCTTTCCAGGCGCAGGTCTACCCTCCTCCTTCGGAAATCTGGGCGAAGCTGGTGAAGCTGCTTCACAATTTCGTCACGGGTAACCACTCGACGGCAGGGAAGCACTTCGCGCTCTGGAGTCAGGAGCTGCTGTTTAAAGCAAGAGGGGAAGGCGGGCTAGGCGTCCGGGATCCCTGTGCGGAGCTGGGGGGTCTGGCGGCCAGGAGGATCGCGTTGCTGGCGTCGCAACCACTGGGACTGCGTGCTGATCTGGCGCTCGCGGCTTTGGATGTTCCTGACCTACAGGTTTTCTGGGCCCACGCGGGGTTGATAAAGCAGTGGGAAGGAAGATGTGAGAGGTGGAAGCGGACATGCGAGCTATTCCTGGAGTCCAACTTCCCTTCATGCATCAGCGTATCGTCCGTATGGGAGGTGGAGCAGGAGATGTTGCTTTTTAACCGCCGGCTGCTTTTGAACGGGAAGACGCCCGCGGGACGGCAGAAGCCGGCTAAGTCGTTGAAGCGCTCGGTGATGGGTGACTTAATCAAGGTTGCTGTGGACGGATCGAGAACTCTGAAAACTCCCCAGGAGCTCGAGCGGGCTTTCGGAGGATCGGAAGGAGCGAAGCTGGCGAAGAGGGTATACGATGCTGCTCCGGATGAATGGAAGCAGTTGCTCATGGCGCCTGTCACAGCGCGCACGGTGCTAACGGCTTCTAAGTTCGTACTAAAGGCGGGGACGAGCTACGGGGTCTGGAGGATTGAGAGTGTGGAAGGCGAAACCCTAGTTTGCCGTGCCATCAAGTGTTTCAGGGGGGCCTTGGAGGAGGCTGAGGAGAGGTTGCGCAATTTTCTGCCGCACGAGGTGGTGCCTGCAGTGGTCAGGGATGGTCGGTTCCTTGGCCCGGCGGGTGCCCCCAGGGCAAGACTGCTGTGCTCCCCCATCTGGGTGGGTGATCGGCCGGCGCAGCTAAGACAACTAAAGGAAGGTTTTAAGCGGTTTGGCGGAAAACCGAAGCAGCAGACCACATGGGAGGAGTCTCTCGGCCGTACGATCGACTGGGGGAGAGTGATCGGGGTACGGGATTCGTCAGCTCTGCCGAACCGTGCGCGGGATGTGATGCTCCGGATCCACAGCCGGAACCTGCAGGTGGGGGAGCGGTTACATTTCCTTGGCGCCGGAGTCGCCTGCCCGCACTGCGGGGAGAAGGAGACACTGGAGCACGGGTTGTTTCTCTGCCCGCGCATTCAGCCGGTGGTACGGGCGCTTTTGAAGGCTCTCCGCATGCTGAATCCGCATCGGAAAATTGAGTCTCTGGGGGATGTGTTTTTCAGGAAGGAGGGTACAGCTTCGGGGTTCCCCGAGGCTACGATCGCAGCAATCGCGTTCCACCGGATTTGGGTCGAGAGGTGTGACGCGGTTTTCGAGCGCAGCAAATTCCGGGCGAGGAGGGCTCTGCGGAGGATCGTGGCGTCTTTCCAACTGCATGTCAGGATCTACAAGCGTGCTAAGGCGGTGTCTAAGAGGCTCGGCGCCATTCGTCCTGGCTTGGATGATGACGAGTGCCGGGTCTTGGGCCACATCATGGACAACTCAGCTCAACCAGCCACGTGGTCCAAGGGGTTCATGGCAATCTGGTCGAACCCGAGGGCTGCCTTCCGCCCCCCTTAGATGGTCAGGATGGGTACGGAGGGAGCAATCCCCCTAAGCCCATCAGCTACAGTTACGACTGCCGATGTATTGTTGCACTTATAGTGTATCTTTGCATCAAAAAAAAAAAAAAAAACCACGTATGATCCAGAACAGAAAAAAGTATGGCACCCCCTCACCACACCCAGACCAGGGCTGTAGAAGCAAGGGCATTTGCCCTTAATGCCCTGAACATTCCGGCCTACGTTTCGAGAGGCTCAACCATATAAAGTGTTAGATAGGCATGGCACCCGTGACAGTTAAGGGCCTCGTTTGGGTCTTCCCCTGAATCAAAGTTTTGGTTTCTGTTTTGAAGGAGACCCCCCCCCCCCCCACCCGAATTCCCGCCGCCATCCCCTCCCCCCCCAACCCCCACTACCCGACATTTTTGCCGACGGTGTTTTTGCGGACGATGTAGAGGCTGAAAGCGTGCAGATGAGTAGTTTGTGTGTACCTTTTCCGGCTAAGTAAGAGGAACAAAATCCTCCTGAGTTACATTAGGGCCAAAGTACACTTACCTAAGAAGCGCTGACTTCCAGTTTTGTTTTTTTCCTTCCCCCGTGAAAATCAGGGCAAGAATTCGAACAGCTCAGGACTCAAAGTTTTGGTCCCAGGGACTTCGACAGGCCTGACCCAGACACCATGAGGCCTGACTGCGACGCGGTGCTGCTTGAGGGGTCGAATGCTGGAACGTTGTGTTTTCGTCCGAGTGGTAGATATCTCAGGGGAATCCTGGGCCATTCGTGCCTTCGGTGACAAAGCACTTGGTTGTGACGCATCGGCACACAATAAACTGTTGGGACCTGATGTACATGGCCCACCCATGATTTCAGAGCCTGCCTGCCCACAATTTCAAGCGCACCGTCCTATTGAGGGCTATCTTACACGCCGTGGTCATTCCCAGGAAAGAAAAAAGAAGCAAATAATTGCCACACGTCAATGATTCATTGGTTGTCTCCGTTCCCTGTTTTCTGCAAGATCTTTGGTAATCCCATCGGCCGTCTCACAGGTCCCCTACCCGAATTAATTACTCGGAAGGAAGAAACTCTAGATTCCATCAACGAGATGCCTCTGCCTGTTGTCTTAGTTGTGCTCCAGGAGAGGCATTCAATGCCTCCAGTATAACGCCGAGTTATAATCAGTCTCAGCGACGAGGAACTTCAGCGCATTCCCACCTCGCACAACATACCACCCACATTCCATCAACGAGATACCAACAGCGCGCTCTCGCACAACATACCACCCTGCCCACCCGTTCCTCAGCCCAACAGGCTGATCCTCAGCATGGGTCTCCACCCGCACATCGTCGTGCAAGAGCACCAGCTCTACGGTTTCCAATGCCGCGGGCTGTTCGCGCACAGCTTTATCGCACAAGGCGAGGTCGTTTGCGATTGGGACGAAGGAGAGATTCGCGGGTACCACGCTTCAGACTTATCGGCGGAACCCGATAAGGAGAAGCGCGAGACAATGATTCGCTACGCGTACATGGTCGGTGACGACTTGTACGACACGACAGCCGACCCCGAGGACGATCCGAGCTTTTATTACAACCACTCGTGCGACCCCAACACATGGTACGCTAACCCGCGTTGCATGGTCGCCCTGCGAGACATTCAGCCGGGCGAGCACGTCACGTACGACTATGCCTGCACGGAGACGGAGGGTAGCATGCACGCCGGCCTGCGCTGCCGCTGCGGCGCCGCGTGCTGCCGCGGAACGCTCACATTCACCGAGTGGCGCTCGCACGACTGGCAGCGACGGTTCGCAGGGCACTGCTCGGCTTATATCGAGCGGAAGATGGCCGAGTCGGGGTGGTACGACCCGCGCGTGGTGACTCGTTACAAAGGTCGCGGCGCGGACGCCTCCAAGGGGCTGTTCGCATTGGCGAGCATCCGACGTGGCGAACCGCTTCTCGTCTTCGCCGGCAAGCTTGTCGGCCTCGATTATCTCCTAGGAAGTGACGAACGCACGCGAGAGCTCTCGCTGCGAGTCAACGACCACCTCTGGCAGGTGCCGGATCCGAAGCGTGGGCCCGAGACGCCCGACTTTATCAACCACTCGTGCGACCCTAACTGCGGACTGGAAGACTCGGTGACGATAGTGGCCATGCGGAGCATAGCGCCGGGCGAAGAGTTGAGCATTGACTACGGTAGCGCGAACGCAGGCGTCGTCCGCACCAGCAGCGATAATTTCAGTTGCCACTGCGGCGCGTCGATCTGCCGCGGGGTAGTCACGTGCGACGATTGGCGGCTGCCCGAGCTCCGGCAACGACTATGGCCGTTCTTCCCGCCGTTCATCAAGCGGCTGATCGTGAGAGAGTCGGAGAAGTCGGACTTGAAGCGGTCTGAGAGTGATGAGTCATGCGAGTCGATCGAAGGCGATGAACTGGCCTTCACCACGAAGATGAAGGTTCCGGCTTCAGCTGCTTGGGTGTGAAAAAACTGAGTGAAACAGGGGAGGATGTTGTGTGAGGATTTTCGATGGTCTGCTCTTCACCGCCTGAAAAGCATTGCATTCGCACGAAATCAGGTTGGTTTCAATGTCGGCTGGTATTCTAGTGACTAACCAGATCATACGGTACGGTATGCATGCAACATACAACACCCCAAGTGACATGTCTAGAAATTGATTCATTAGTAACGGAGATGTATGTCTCGGTATGAAAGCAAATTTAAGTACAAATTTCTGAACAGTATGCAAGTTTGATGCTGTACTCAGAGGTGGGGAGAACAGAGATTCGGGGTGCGGTATTGGGTGTGGGTAGGTGGGTAGTATGGAGGGATGACAGTAGGGGGTGTAGTGAAAGAGATTCCCAAGCCTACTTCCCCACTGACTGCTATGTAGAACAAAACTAGGGGGTAAATAGTCTCGGGTTTGGGGGCCAAGCCTTAGAGCCAGTTTCCCTGTGAGGTGGCATTTCACTTCAGGGAAATAGAAGCCTCTGGCACAAATAAAGCTTACGTAAATGATTTGTTCTCCCAATTACCATTTGCGTTTACATTTGCTCAGAGGTATTTTCTGCTAGCATACTAGAGAAAGCACTGGATTTGTTTTTTCTCAGATCCTCGGGTGCTCCAAACTCAGTGAGTTGCCCAAGTTCCAAGACAAGAACCTGAGAAAAGGGAATTGATTTTGGATGAACCAGAAAATATAAGTTTTTTAGCAGGTCCGACGTGTGCACCAAGGGAGGACACGCGTAAGGAGGCGTGGGGTGTGCGTGCGTAGGGTGTTGGCACGAAGGTGTGCGCACATGCACTCACAGACGTTGGCATGAAGGTGTGCGCACATGCACTCACAGACGTTGGCATGAAGGTGTGCACACATGCACTCACAGACGTTGGCATGAAGGTGTGCGCACATGCACTCACAGACGTTGGCACGAAGGTGTGCGCACATGCACTCACAGACGTGGGCATGATGGGTGTGCGCACACACATACATGGACGTGAGCAAGGGGCACATTCAACACTCTTCTGACTTGCCTGGTCGTAATCAAGAACCGTGGAGAGCCGGTGTGCAATGGTGATGACGGTGCTGTGCTTGAATGACTCCCGCAGGATGGATTTGATCGCTGCATCGCTCTCCCCATCCATGCTCGCTGTCGCTTCATCCATCAGCAACACGCGTGTTGATGCCAGCAACGCTCTGTATGGAAAACAAATACCAGGAACAAGAAGCAAGCAGAATATGTACTGCATCATAACTGCGCGTTTCGGCCAATACACAGTTCTGAGACACAGATAAGACCTGCACTGTGATTGGCCCAACGCATTCCCCTTGGGCGTACCTTGCGAGGCAGAGCAGTTGCCTCTGCCCCAGGGAGAGGTTCCCCCCGCCCTGAGCCAGGGCACCCTCTAACCCCCCCAGCAGCCCCGCCACCAGCGGCTTTAGGTGCACCGTTGCCAGCACCGACCACAGGGCCTCGTCACTGTGCTGCCTGTGATGGGGCATGGAGGGTTGGGGGGTGAAGTGCGGGATGGGAGGGTACCTTTTAGCTGCACCATTGCCAGCATCGACCACAGGGCCTCGTCACTGTGCTGGCTGTCAGGGGGGTTGGGAGGGATGAAGGGGAGGATGGGAGGGAACGGGGGGGATGAAGCGGGGTTTCGGAGGGTGAAAGTGAACAAGAGATCGAGTGAGTGACTGAGAGTACACATGTGAGGGACAGTGAGAAGATGTACAGCTGGACATACGCCACAGAAAGGGCACGGAGTTTCAACAGCGTCCCAAATTCCTGGTCAGAGAGAATCATGGTCATTGTGAGCAGCCATACCCCAGGGGATCAAGGTTGAATCGCAATGACTGGCTAAAGAGAACCGGCTCTTGAGGAATGGCCACCACCTGCAACAGGGGAGACCGTTGGAAATCAAACTCAGAAGTTTTAGTCAGATTATGCTTGTAAACTTCGGGCGAGTTATCCAACAATTGGACGGAAAGGCAACTGGTTGCTTACATTGCTTCTCAGGGTGGTGAATGGCAGAGATGCAATGTCCACATCATCAATGTAGAGATGTTTCCTTAAGACTTGTGAGTCGCTTTTGAGAATTCCCAAAACTCACAAGTCAGCTTCTAAGGCGCGGCAGAAGCCCACCTTGCTTCGCAGGGTGGCGAGGGGCAGCGATGCAATGTCCACACCATCGATGTGAATGCTCCCCGAAGACGCTTCCACCAACCGCAGCAGCGCGAGCATGAGGGTGGATTTTCCTGCACCTGTTGTGTTGAGGCGTGGCACACACACATGTAGACAACACACAACAGCTAGCGCTGTCTTAAGCCTTGCTACAGAATCTCAGAATGCATCCATGCCGAGTGTACTGAGATCACGTTTGAGATCTCTGAGAAACAAGGAAGCATTTTCCTCCTTGATCCAGCCCCAATGATGCTATGTTGGATCACAGAGCCAAACCTACAGATCGCCTCACCTGTTCGCCTTACCACACCTCACCTGTTCGCCCCACCACACCGCACTTCTCTCCCCCTGCGAGCTGAAAGCTCAAGCTGCGCAGCACTGCCAGCCCTGAACTGCCATACCGCACTGTCAGCTGCTCCACTCGCACTGCCCCTGCTGACGGCCACGAGGGGCAAACGGCGCTTCTGCTGTTCCTCTCCTCCTCCTCCTTGCTGTTTGGTGCTGCATCAGTGGCTTGGCAGTGGGTGAAGGGCGGATTGCGAGAGAATAGTGGCTTGATGATGTTGTCCATCTTAAAGGACAGGCGCCTGATTGCTGTTTGCAGTGCTCCGAACAGCAAGCTGGGTACGGAGGATTTGGTGGTGGGGCCTTCCTGCTGCTGCTGCTGCTGCTGCTGCTGTTGTCGTTGCTGCTGCTGCAGCTGCTGCCACTTGTTGTGCTGCTGATGCTTGGATTTACTTTTGGCAGGTGTAGGCTCTTCCCCTGGCAGCGTGGTGTACTCGAGTGTGCGCTCAACACTCGTGAACTGGCATGGACGGGGTGGGGTGTCAGAGGGCGGGGAGGCAACAATGCAGGTTCTAGAGGCCCCTCAAGGTGCGGACTCTTCACCTGGCAGCGTGGTGTACTCGAGTGTGCGCTCAACACTGGTGAACTGCGATGGACGGGGTGGGGTGTCAGAGGTGCAGGGATGAAACAATGCAGGTTATTGAGTTAGGCAAGTGCAAGATGGACGTGTCCCCTGCGGTTCTCGCAACGTGTGTTTTTTGAGAATTCTAAAAAAACACAGAATTCTAAATAAAACACAGAATTATAAAAAAACACAGAATTATAAAAAAACACAGAATTCTCAAAAAACACAGAATTCTAAAAAAACAAAGAATTCTCAAAAAACACAAGATGGACGTGTCCCCTGCGGTTCTCGCAACCATATCAAGCATGAGAATGGGATGTGGAGATCGAGCATGCATCATCATCAAGCTGCTTCACGTCACATAAGAGGTAAGAGAGCACAAGGGTGTTTGCCTCTCTAGTATCTATCCCATGGGTGCATGAGAATGTGATGTGAAGCGTCACATAAGACGTAAGAGAGCAATAGAGTGTTTGCTTCTCCATCAGCACACGGTGCGGAAGGAGTGAACGGTGCAGCACACCATGAACGAAGAAGTCGTGTTTTGAGTCGACTCAAAACACGAGGGAGTGAACGGTAGAGCACACCATGAACGAAGGAGCACGTTCCTGGTTCCCACCCCACCACGGTGCTCCTTTGTTAATGGTGCACTTGCCTCACTTCCCTCACACCCATGAGCATCGCAACAATCGCTCGCACCCTGGTCCCTTGCCTCTACCATGTTCTCCGGCTCTGATTCTTTACATGTTCCCTCAAACTTTGGCTCATTACACACGGTCCCTTGCCGAAGCTCGCACCCTGGTCCCTTGCCATTACACACGGTTGTTTACATGTTGGGAAGTTACTGGCTTTCAGAGAAGAATCAAAAGCTTCCTCGCCTCACCGTGTCCCTTCGCCTCGTCTCATCCTGTCCCTTCGCTTCACCCTCTCCCTCCCTTCGCTTCACCCTCTCCCTCTCTTCGCTTCACCCTCTCCCTCCCTTTGCTTCACCCTCTCCCTCCCTTCGCTTCACCCTCTCCCTCCCTTCGCTTCACCCTCTCCCTCCCTTCGCTTCACCCTCTCCCTCCCTTAGCTTCACCCTCTCCCTCCCTTAGCTTCACCCTCTCCCTCCCTTCGCCTCACCCTCTTCCCTCGCCTCAAAGTATACCGAGAAGTTTTCTGTTTACGATGTTCTCTCCCTGTCACCGTGTTCGTTCTCTCCCCTCACCTCCTCCCTCACCGTGTTCTCCAGCTCAACGCCATACTGCAGCGCCCACCGTAACGAGTCTGGTTTTGAGGCGCCTCAAAACTCGTCTCAGTTCACGCGGTTTTTATATGGGGAATATCTACATTGCATGGAGGTGTGCACGTAACTTGCAAAAGTTACTCGTGCGAGCGAAGTTTCCAAGGCTTATCGATAGCCCTGACGAAGACACCACGGAAGGCTGACACTTGTAACCTTGGGTTTTTACCCAGTGCTGTGTTGGCGAATGCCCATTGTTAGGCAATCTGGGTAGATGGGAACCTTGAATTCTGTTCGCGGTGTAGGTTGATTACTTAGCCTATGCCTAGCTGTTGGATATCTTTGTGTTCAGAAGCACTGATGAAGGCTTGGCGGGTTCTCCCGCCTTGCCGAAACATGTTTGCGACCTGTTCTGATTGAGTGATTTCAGTTCTTGCGATCAGAGTTCTCTTAGCTAGGGATTTTTTTACTCTTTTTCTTACTTGCTAAAGCGTTTCACTAGTACTGTTGCCCTTCCACCATGAGTGAGAACGCCGTACTGCAGCGCCCACCATAACGAGTCTGGCAGCCTTTCTGTCCCTCACTTTCCCCGCACCCCCTCCAACCAACCAACCTCCCCTCACCGTGTTCTCCAGCTCAACGCCGTACTGCAGCGCCCACCGCAGGGAATCCAGCACCCTTCCCTTGCCTCACTTCCTTCACAACAATAAACATCACAACCATTGCACCCCTGCCGCCCTCCCTCCTCCCCTCTCCCCCCCCGCCGCCCCCCCCCAAACATCCCTCCCGCCTCTCACCCTCTCCTCCCCCCTCACCGTGCTCTCCACCTCCACGCCATACTGCAGCGCCCAGCGCAGGGAGTCCAGCACCCTTCCCTTGCCTCACTTCCATCCCACCCATAAACATTACAGCCAGCGCAACGCACCCTTGTCTCTCCCCCCTGCCTCACCCTCCCCACCCTCTTCAGTACCGTGTTTTCGAGCTCCACGCCGTATTGCAGCGCCCAGCGCAGGGAGTCCGAAGACTTCCCTTCCCTCCCTTCCCTCACCCCTGGCTGTTCCCCAATCCCCACCCTTCCCCCCCCCCTCTCACCGTGTTCTCGAGCTCCACACCATACTGCAGCGCCCACCGCAGGGAGTCCGGCAGCTGCAGCAGATAAGACAAAGCCAGTGCGGCCATGGCGGGCGGCAGCGAGTGGCGCAGGGCCACGGCGGCGAGGGCGGCGGAGAGCAGGGCGGCGGCAACGAGGAGGTCCAATCGGAAGCCCAGCCACTCCCACGTGGCGATCCAGAATAGGTGCGGGGTGGCATTGGCGGTGACGTGGCGCAGGAAGAGGCGGTGGAAGCGGCGCTGCTGGGAAAAGGCTCGGATGGTTGGGAGGCCCTGAGAGGGGGGAAGAGGGGTAGGGAGTAAAGATTTCGTGGCAAGTTTGGGAAGCGCTGCGGGGAGAAGGGATGAGTGGGAAGGGGGTATAGACTTGCTGTTGGGACACACGGTGGCTGGCATGGGATGGGAAGTCAACCGCCTTCCTCAAGCTCCGGCCAGAATAGGTTCGGGCTGGCGTTGGCGGTGATGTGGCCAAGGAAGAGGCGGTGGAAGCGGTGCTGGTGGGAGAGGCTCGGATGGGGGAACGGGGAAGGGGAAGGGGAGTAGAGACTTGAGAGGTGAGCTTGGGAAGTGCAGAGGATGTAACAGTGGATGAGTGGGCGTTGTCTGCCTCTCTCAGTGAGTGAGTGAGTCCGTGCGTGGGTGGGTGGGTGTGTGCATGCGTGCGTGCGTGGTGGTGAGGAAGCGGGAGGGAGGGATGAAGAACAACTTGGAATTCACACCTCCATGGTGTTGAGGAAGCGGGCGAGCAGCACGGAGCGTGTTGTGCACTCCATGCGGCGGACCTCCATGGCAGCGCACACATACAGATGCCGCAGGTGCAGCAGCAGGTGCAGCAGCAGCAGCAGCATTGTTTTGAGTCGACTCAGAACACAGCTCACCTCCATGGTGGTGAGGAAGCGGGCGAGCAGCACGGAGCGAGTGGTGCATTCCATACGTCGGACCTCCATTGCCGTGCACACATACAGATGCCGCAAGTGCAGCAGCAGCAGCAGCAGCGGCAGCATGGGGATGAGTATCCACGGCACAGCTATGCATGCTGATACCACTGCGGCAACGCACAGGCCGAAGGGCTGCAGGCAAGTGGAGGACGGGAAGGATAGTACGGGTTTAGCGGGAGTGGGATGATGGAGAATGGAGATGGGAGAGTGGGTGACTGGGAGTATGGTGGGAGTAACTTTGTGTATTCACATGGTATCCAGCTGACATGAAACCCCTAACTCGTTTTGAACCCTCCTCAATCTTCCCTCCCTCCATCACGCTCCCCCACCCCTCTCTCGACCCTTCGACTCACATTGAGGAAGTCCAGCAGCAGCTGCGGAAGCACATTGTCAGTCACCCCGAGGTCCTCACTGAAGCGGTTCAGCACGCGGCCCGTGGGGTTGGGTTGGGTTGCAGTAAAATAACGCGAGTGGGGTGACTATTGAGTCTCACTCTCAACTCACATTCAGAAAATCCAGCAGCAGCTGGGGCAGCACATCATCGGTAACCCCGAGGTCCTCACTGAACCGGTTCAGCACGCGGCCCGTGGGGTTGCGGTGGAAGAAGGCCAGCGGCGAGGCGAGCACGGACGAAAGCATAAGTGAGTGCATGCGGGAGGAGGCGCGCAGCGCGGCGAAGTGGATGAGCAGCGAGGAGAGGAGGGAGAGGGCCACACAGGACAGGGCGATGGCTGCCAGCGTGACCAGTGGGTGCGGTGTGGTTTCCGGCGCCTCTGTCCACAGGCCCAGGAACCTTGGGGGGGAGGGGAGCGGAGGGGATTAGAGGAGAGAGATGTGGGTTGCGGTGGAAGAAGGCAAGCGGCTAGGCGAGCACGGAGGCAAGCATGAGTGAGTGCATGCGGGAGGAGGCGCGCAGCGCGGCAAAGTGGAGGAGCAGCGAGGCGAGGAGGGAGAGGACCACGCAGGAGAGGGCGATGGCCGTGAGGGTGGCAAGCGGGTGCGGTGTGGTCTCAGGCTCCTCCGTCCACAGGCCTCCGGGGTGGAGGGGAGGGGCGGGGAGGGAAGGGGAGGGGCGGGGAGGGGAGGGGAGGGGAGGGGAGGGGAGGGGAGGGGAGGGGAGGGGAGGGGAGGGGAGGGGAGGGGAGGGGAGGGGAGGGGAGGGGAGGGGAGGGGAGGGGAGGGGAGGGGAGGGGAGGGGAGGGGAGGGGAGGGGAGGGGAGGGGAGGGGAGGGGAGGAGAGGGGAGGGGAGGGGAGGGGAGGGGAGGGGAGGGGAGGGGGGGGGAGGGGAGGGGAGGGGAGGGGAGGGGAGGGGAGGGGATGGGAGGGGAGGGGAGGGGAGGGGAGGGGAGGGGAGGGGATGGGAGGGGAGGGGAGGAGGGGCAAGAGTCATCAAGCATGGAGCAGGAGGGATGGGCAGATGTCCGATGGAAGAGGCACACAGGAGGCGTGGATGAGCAGTGAGACGAGAAGGCGAGAGGGCCATACAGGAGGGGGCGATGGCCGTGAGGGTGAGAAGTGGGGGAGGGGATGGCGAGAGGAGGTGATGGGGGGGCGTGCATGAGAGAGAAAGGGAGCGTGAGGGAGGAATTTCCTCACCAGCTGACGAGGGCGTTGGAGACGTGTGCGGCGAGGAAGAGGGCGGCAAAGAGCAGCAGAGGCAGCACGCGGATCTTTCTGGCGTAGCCCCAAAACACCAACAGGGGGATGGCACCGCGCTGCCACCCTTCCACGTCCAGCAGGCCTGCAGGCACACACAGCGATTGGGGTTAGCGTCGGATGGGACAGGGGGGAGCATGGAAACACACATGATCGCGTGGGACAGGCAGTGGAAAGCCACGCACACGTTTGCATGCCTACGTTTGCATGCCTACGTTTGCATGCCTACCTTGCTCATCACCTTCTGTGGACCCACTCTCCTCCTGCTCTCCCTCCCCCCTCCGAAAGAGGGAGTAACTCTCTGCTGCTAATGGTCCTTCTCTTGACTTGCACAACGAGCCCTCAGCAGCCTGGTCCTCAAGTGAGACACGCTCCCCCTCCCTGCATGCGTCTACCACTCCCTTCCCCACCTCCGCTGTCTCCACCTCAGCCTCTGTCCCTAAGAGCACCTCTTTCTCACTTCCTCTCAATGACGTGTTTCTATGAATGCCGTCCTTAGTCAACTGAATCTTCTCCACCTCATCCCCTGTCCCAATGAGGGCCGCAGCCTCTGCCTGCTCCACCTCTGCCCTTTCCTCGCTTCCTCTCACCGACGAGTCCCCATGAATGCCCACCCTGCAGCCCCTCGTGCCGACTGTTGGCGCATCTGTGTCTCTCTCGCTGCCTGTGCCACGATCTACACAGCTGCCACTGCTGCTGCCCGCTGTGTCGCCAGTTTTGCACCTCTGTGAATGAACAACGGTGCCGTCCACACCCGTGTTAGTGGTGACAGTTGCATTGCCAGCAGCAGCACAGTCACCGCCAGTGACAGTGGCACACATGGCACTGTCAGAGCCAGTGTCACGTTTGCTGCTGCAGACCACCGTGGTGCCGCTTTTGCAGCTCCGTGAATCAGCAATCGTGCCGTCCACACCCGTGTCAGTGGTGACAGGGGCACAGACGACCGTACCAGAAACAGTGACAGTGGCACACATGGCACTGTCAGAGCCAGTGTCTGAAACACCCCTCCCACCAGAGAGAGGTTGCCCCAGTGCCGGAGGGGGATGGTCACAGTGTTGTTGCGCAGAGGGCAGGGTGCATATGTCACTCCATGTGCTTTGAGGTGCCTCAAAAGCTTTGAGGGGCTTCAGAAGTTGTGCAAAGGGCAGAGGGGGGTTGTCGCAGTTTTGTTGAGCAGAGGGCAGGGCGCAGAGGTCACTCCATGCGCCACACGCCGCTGCTCTGCCGCTGTTCAGCACCAACACTCTGTGGCAGCTGGGGATGAGGGAGAGGGAGGGGAGCAGAGGAAAGACAGAGGGAGAAACAATTGTACTATGCACACGAAACAATTGTAGTATGCACACGAAACAATTGTAGTATGCACACGAAACAATTGTAGTATGCACACGAAACAATTGTAGTATGCACACGAAACAATTGTAGTATGCACACGAAACAATTGTAGTATGCACACGAAACAATTGTAGTATGCACACGAAACAATTGTAGTATGCACACGAAACAATTGTAGTATGCACACGAAACAATTGTAGTATGCACACGAAACAATTGTAGTATGCACACGAAACAATTGTAGTATGCACACGAAACCATTGTAGTATGCACACGAAACAATTGTAGTATGCACACGAAACAATTGTAGTATGCACACGAAACAATTGTAGTATGCACACGAAACAATTGTAGTATGCACACGAAACAGTATGCACAGTTGTATTGTATGGGATGCAATGCAACAGATAATTTCCGTCTCTCCTCCCTCATCAATCGTCTGCTCCATCCAAACCCACCCTTTCTCCATCCCCTTCCCTTCCCCCACACCCATCACCATACCTCCCAAGGTACTGCACGTGGTGAGTGACGACAATCCGGGGCAGCCCTGCCAGCAGCCCACACACGCACTGCTGAAACACGTGGCTGGCAACGGCTGGATCCAACGCGGCAAGAGGGTCGTCTAGGAGGACCAGCACGGGTGGGGGCGCACTCCGGCTGCTGCTGCTAGTTCTATTGCTGCTGCTATTGTTACCACCACTGTTTCCACTGCTGCTACCGCTATTGCTGCCGCCATTGCCATCAGTGTGTGCCTGAGGTGTGGCATATGCTGCCCGGGGTGACTTTAGAGTCGACTCAAAGGTCATCTTGCAGTGCAGTGCAACATACGCCGCCCGGGCGAGCGACATGCGCGCCCTTTGCCCGCCACTGAGGTTGCCGCCGCCCTCCTCCACCAATGATTCATCGCCACGTGGCATTAGGGCCAAGTCCGTGCGGAGGGCACAGGCGTCCAACACCTTCAGTGGGGGAGGGAGATAGCAAGTGAGAGGGGGGGGGGGGGGGGGGAGAAGGGAGATAGGGGAGCAAGAGAGAGCGGGGAGGAGAGTGCAATGGGGACGACGTTTAAGGCACCTCAGAAGTCCAACGTTTGAGCACAGGACAGGACACACGCATCCACCACCTTGAGTGGGGGAGGGCAGCAGAGTGAGCGAGGGGGAAGAGGGCATTGGTAGACGTTCAGAGACGATAACTAGCAGAATGAGAGAGAGTGGCGAGGAGATGGAGGCGGGGAGGAGAGGGCAAAGGGGAGGAGAGGGCAAAGGGGGGGAGAGGGCAAAGGGGAGGAGAGGGCAAAGGGGGGGGGAGAGGGCAAAGGGGAGGAGAGGGCAAGGGGGAGGAGAGGGCAAAGGGGAGGAGAGGGCAAAGGGGAGGAGAAGGCAAAGGGGAGGAGAGGGCAAAGGGGGGGGGAGAGGGCAAAGGGGAGGAGAGGGCAAAGGGGAGGAGTGGGCGACGGGGAAATGGGACGGCAGAGGGGAGCCTTAAGAGACGTTCAAACGCAAGACAGAATCAGTTCAGACCTTTCTTGGCATGCAGTGTACCTTAGCATAGAGAGCCTTGTGTAGCGTTGTACCGAATAGGATGTTGTCTCGCACCGTGCCTTCAATGAGGAAAGGCTGGTGGAATAGACGCACGGGGGAAAGGGGAGAGGAGGGGTAGGGTGGGGGAGGTTTTAGTCGATGCAAAACTCGAATAGGATGTTGTCTCGCACCGTCCCCTCAATGAGGAAAGGCTGGTGGCATAGACGCACACGGGGGAAAGGGGAGAGGAGGGGTTGTGAGAGAGAGGAAGGTGGTTGGTGGTAGGTTGTAATATGCAGAAGTGAGTCAAAGAGGTACGGGAGGACACAACACAGGGATGTGCCTTGTGCGTGGAAGGGAAAGGCTGACACACATCAGGTCACTGGCAAAGGGTGGCAAAGGATGAGAGACGAGTGGGTGGGGAAGGGGTGAGAGAGAGACGAGAAGCAAAGGTTGAGCGGCAAATGGGAGGCAGACCTGCTGCGATGCGTAGGCGAGGGAAGGCACGGAGCGGTGCATGGCGCCCGATGAGTGAGGCACTTCCCCCAGAATACCCAGCAGCAGCAACGACTTGCCACTGCCCGTCTGCGAGGTGGAAAGGGTGGGGTGGGAGGCAGTGTAAATAGCATGATCACAGCGGTGTTTTCTTGAAGCCTGCATTACAGTCAAGTGCGATACTCAGCAGGCAGCACAGCAGGCAGCACAGCAGGCAGCACAGCAGGCAGCACAGCAGGCAGCACAACACGCAGCACAGCAGGCAGCACAGCAGGCAGCACAGCAGCCTGTGACAGCCAGAGGCGCACAACACACACAATGAACACGCATGCTGCAAGCAAGAGCATTCCATAGCAGGCAATAGCAGGCCGCGGGCAAGCAGCAAGCAGCGGGCAGCGGGCAGCACGCAAGCAGCGGGCAGCACGCAAGCAGCAAGCAGCGGGCTCACCTTGCCAGTGACTCCCACGACCTCTCCCTCTCACCTTGCCAGTGACTCCCACGACCTCTCCCTCTCACCTTGCCAGTGACTTCCACGACCTCTCCCTCTCACCTTGCCAGTGACTCCCACGATCTCTCCCTCTCACCTTGCCAGTGACTCCCACGACCTCTCCCTCTCACCTTGCCAGTGACTCCCACGACCTCTCCCTCTCACCTTGCCAGTGACTCCCACGACCTCTCCCTCTCACCTTGCCAGTGACTCCCACGACCTCTCCCGCTCACCTTGCCAGTAACTCCCACGACCTCTCCCACTCACCATGCCAGTGACTCCCACGACCTCTCCCGCTCACCTTGCCAGTGACTCCCACGACCTCTCCCTCTCACCTTGCCAGTGACTCCCAAGACCTCTCCCTCTCACCTTGCCAGTGACTCCCACGACCTCTCCTGCTCACCTTGCCAGTGACTCCCACGACCTCTCCCTCTCACCTTGCCAGTGAATCCCACGACCTCTCCCTCTCACCTTGCCAGTGACGCCCAGCAGCTCTGCCTCTCCCAGCCTTACGCTCACTCCCTCCACCCGCCCGCTCGGTGCGCATGCACCGTCTATCTCAACATGTCCCTCTTGCTCCTCCCGTGCAGTCACACACGTGCCCTCCAAGGCAGCAGCACCAGCAGCATCAGCAGAAGCATCCGCAGCAGAAGGGCCAACAGCGGGGGAAGGGCCAGGAGCACGAAAGCTCATTAAACGCTGCAGGGAACGCACGCGGAAAGCTTTGGGGACGCGTCGGAAACTCCTGACACTGCTCATGTAGCCCTTGCCATAAGGCGTGCCATCTACCGTGCTAGGCTCAGTGACATCCAGAACATGCCCGGCCGATGCTTGAGTCGACTCAGCAATCGCCTCAAGCGGTGGCTTTTTCCTCCTTCCTCTGAATCTCTTTCCTCCTTTTTTTTCGCTCTCCCTCTTCCCCTCGCGCTTAACCTCCCCAGCTGCTTCTCCCCAAGCGAAAGAGGCCCATTCAAGCACCAAGGCAGCACGGCGGGGATAGGGAAGGCGTGTGAGAGAAGAGGAGGAGAGGCTGTGGCTGGGCAGTGAGGCGAGCTCTGAGGATGGTGAGGACTGGAGACTCGGTGCTGGGGGGTGTATACTTGGTACTGTAGACTGGAGACTCGGTGCTGTGAGAGCAGCAGTTGTTGATTCAGGTGGCTTGGTGGTGGTTGGGGTGTCAATGGCATAGCGGCGCGCTTTTGGGAGCATAGCAGAGCCATTCTGAGATGGCGCTTCTTGCGGCCTGGCTCCGTGGGGAGTGCTCTGTTGGAGTGAAGGTGGCACGCACAGGGAGGTGCACGCACAGGGAGGTGCGCGCACAGGGAGGTGGCACCCACAGGGAGGTGGCACGCACAGGGAGGTACATGTAGAGGCAGGCAACGGGGATGAGACGGCATTCAGTAAGCTGGATGAGCCACTCATCGCACCCACCCATCTATCCACCCACCCACCTACCCACCCACCCATGCACATCGAGGTATATTGAGGCTTTCTCTCATCACCAATCGGACCTCATCACCAATCGGACCTCATCACCAATCGGACCTCATCACCAATCGGACCTCATCACCAATCGGACCTCATCACCAATCGGACCTCATCACCAATCGGACCTCATCACCAATCGGACCTCATCACCAATCGGACCTCATCACCAATCGGACCTCATCACCAATCGGACCTCATCACCAATCGGACCTCATCACCAATCGGACCTCATCACAACATTGCAGCCGTTATTTGTATCCACCCACCCACCTGGACGGCATTTGTAGTGCTCCAACCACTCAACAGGGCGTGCGCTGAAACGCGTTGATAACGACAGGCGGTGAAAAATCCGAGAGAAATGGTGCGTGGTTTGGAGTCGAGTCGAGTCAAGAAGAATCGCTGCAAACGTGTTGGTCGGTAACTATAGGCGGTGAAAAGACAAGAGAAGGGTGGGTGGGTGGGTGGGTTGGCAACAACAAAGAGCATGCTGCTTCCCGCATGCTGACTTTTGAGGTGCCTCAAAAGGCAACAGCAAAGAGCATGCTGCTTCCTGCATGCCGACCTGCAGAAGTTCTGACCTGCAGGAAGTGTGAGAGTCGCTTGAAGCTGACAAACGCCTCTGCTATTTGCTGTATGCCGTAGGCCACCTTCCACCCCATGGTGTAGTGCGGGATCTGCGGGGATATGGTATGGAGGGGAGGAGGGAACGGAGCGAGGAGCGGAGGGAACGGAGGGAGGGGAGGAAGGGAAGTGTGGGGCATGTTAAGAGGACTGTTTACAGAGAAGCAACGGTGCACGATGACATGACCATCCCACTCAACTCAGTCCCCCACGATTGTTGAGGCGCCTCAACAATTTCAACAGTGCACAATGGCCAGCAGCCCACGCGCCGTTGAGCAACGCATTCAATCCACTCCCCCACGCGCATTCAATCCACTCCCCCACGCGCATTCAATCCACTCCCCCACGCGCATTCAATCCACTCCCCCACGCGCATTCAATCCACTCCCCCACGCGCAGTCAATCCACTCCCCCACGCGCATTCAATCCACTCCCCCACGCGCATTCAATCCACTCCCCCACGCGCATTCAATCCACTCCCCCACGCGCATTCAATCCACTCCCCCACGCGCATTCAATCCACTCCCCCACGCGCATTCAATCCACTCCCCCATGTTAGAGGGCCCTACGACAGCAAGGGCCCTCGATGACCTTTGACTTGGCAGGTCGGCGCCTAACGACTGAGTCTACTCGGCACCGACGCACGAGTTCGGTGGCGGTCATTAGTGACTACGGGTGACTGTGAGCTACTGCAGCGAACTCGGCGGAATCGGTGCTAGGAATGACGAGTCTTGGGGGTCGTAGGTGCCTTGCTTGTGAGGCACGCTGCTCACTTGCTGTGTTGGCAGGAGTAGCGTGCACGGTGAGACATTCCGGTGCCGAGTTGGGTTGGAAATGTGCGGGGCGCGTTCACCCACCTGCACAGCACTTTCGTGTGGGTTGGGTTACTCGCAGCGCCACGCAACAATTGTGCAACTCTTGCTTGCCTATATATGTTTGTGTTTGCTTGTGTGTTTGATAATTGATATTGCAATTCTACTTGGCCCAAATGCTACTTCAATTCTCACAAAGTCCTTAGAGGCAAACGCTACCAAAACTCTACCAAGTTGCTGGCGCAACATCATTCCCATAGCAGAGACTCTCTCGCTATCGCTACGCTCTCTAATATATTCCTTCATGGTGCGGTGAGCGTGGAACGAACACGCATAGATTTCCGTCGACGTTCGTTAGTATACTCGCCTTGGCGTGCGGCGTTAGTGAAGGGCGCTCATTAATTTAAGTTGAACCTCTCTTAATTTCCCTCCAGTTACGTTCTCGGACCCAAGGATAGGGCGCTTGGTAAGTTATTACCATTCATCTGAGGACCCTTGTGAGGTGACCCCGAGACGAGGGATTCAAGGAAGGGACAATTTATTTTAATTTGTGGTACCTTGTAGAGACGTCGTAGAGGATGAGTACGGAGGAGACGAACGTGGAGGCCGGTAGTCTTCGCGCACTAGAGGAGGATCTCGAGGCCCGTCATTCTCGTGGTGAGCTTAGTGATCTAGAATACGAGCTCATGATGGAGGGATTACGCTCTCGTCAGCGTCGCGACCATCCCTCGCCACGTGTAGAGAATGTTGAGCAAGCTGCGGGTAGTGCGTGGGATATGCTTGGCGATGGCGGAAATAGCGATGACGAGGAGCTTGATGGGTTGATGTCGCGTGGGGTCCTGCGAGGACCAACTCGGTTTAGTACGGCTAGCGTCGGCGGTGTACAGGAGCGTGTTCATCGTGCAGCAGCGTCACGAGAGCATGCGAATGTAGGACGGCGGAGCGTTGCTGGAGGAGGAAATGCGGAAGAGTACGATAGTGAGGCTATGCCGGGCGTTACCCCGATTGGATCGATGTCGAGGGACGAGGGAATAGCCCCCAACTATGGCTTCTTCAAATTCACTCCAGACAAGATCGTCGTCCCTAGGCCATTAGAAGGACGTCACGACCTGTCGACGTGGACAGAATCGATCGAGCCGCAGCTTGAGATCGCTCAGTTAAAGCGATTCATAGATGGCACCACTCCCATTCCACCAGCGCGTGCACTTGCACATCTCTCTCAGTTCCGCGCGATGCAGTTGCTAACGTTCACCACCATTTCCCGATGCTGCTCCCCAACCGTACAGATCGCCCTTAAGGCGTGCCGCTTCAAGGTAGATGCCGGCTTTCAGGCATGGCAGTTTATCATGCGCACGTATATGGCGAAGGACGACCTGTACATAGGTCAGCTAGAGCAGGCGCTCACTAACCTCGAGATGGGAGAGCATGAGTCCGCTACGTCCTATTGCAACCGTGCGCAGCAGATCCTAGTGAACCTGAGGATGGCCGGCGTAGATTACTCGCAGGCGTCGTACATTACTCACGTTGTGAAGGGGTTGCCGCAGCAGTACAACCTCTTACGCAGGATGCTGAAGTTGCCGCAGGTGCGCAAGGAGTTGGACGAGGACACCCTCGCTAGCTACATCATCGAGGAGGAATGTACGCTGGCGGCGGAGGGACGAAAGGACCAATTCCTTCCCCAGGCTAACCAGGTCTTTACCAAGAAGGGTAAGCCCCAATTCCAGCAGACTTCATTCCCTTCCCCTCCCACTACGGCACAGCAGCAGCAGCCTAAGACTGGGGGTGGGGTTGGTGGGGGAGGGGAGAAGTGGAAAGGGGGTAAGGATGGCCAGCCGAAGGGGGGGAAAGGGGGCTTCAAGAGGAAGTGCTATGTGTGTGGACAGACAGGGCATGTTGCTAAGTACTGTCAGCAGCGGGCGGATAAGGAGGCAGACACTAGTGGAGAGGGTTCTGGAGGTAGCAGCGGAAAGGGGGGTGATGGCTCTAAGGGGAGCGGGCAGTCATCATGTGCGATGGTGAAGCCCGTTGTGGAGCAGACTCCTCTCGTTGTGCTAGAGCCTGAGGCCGGGGAGGGCTTACAGGCTGTTGCAGCTGCTGTGAAGGCGAACCCGAGCGTCGTGCTGCTTGATAGCGGATGCTCCCACCATCTCATGGGAGATCGTTCTGCCTTTGTGGAGATGAGCAGCGGCGGCAGTATTAAACAGGTTACCGGCTTCAACGGCGCTCTTCAGGAGGTGCAGGGGCGGGGCACAGTCGCTCTTCTTGGAGAGGGGGGCAGGCGTGTCTTGGTGCCGGACGTGCTGTACGTACCAGGAGTGCAGGCGAGTCTTCTCTCTGCTGGGCAGCTGCGTGATAGTGGTGTGCAGCTGCTGGATGCCGGGGATGTGACTTTGCTGCGGGCACCAGATGGATCGCTCCTTGGTCGTGCGGAGTTCAAGGGGCGTGTTCTCTGCACGAACTTCCAGCCGTGTTCGACGCAGCAGCAGGAAGGCGAAACGGTGGCACTTCGTACCTTGGCGACCGGCGTACGGTCTAAGGGGGACCTGTGGCATGCGCGTATGGCACACGTTGGTATTGATGCCATCGAGCGCACAGCGGCTCACGGGTCAGTGAAGGGCTTGGATTTGGAGAAGGGGGGCAAGTCAGGCATACCTTGTGTCTCCTGTGTTGGGGGAAAGATCACTCGTCATACCTTTCCTTCTGTGGGAGAGGAGGAGGATGAGTTGCTCGGGGTGGTGCATGCTGACCTGTGTGGCCCTTTCCGTGAAGCAGCTAAGGACGGCAGCCGCTACTTCTTGGTGCTGAAGGATCGCAAGACGCGATATGTCTGGGCCTACCCTTTGGCCCAGAAGAGTGATGCGCTGGCGGCGTTCCAGAAGTGGCTCCCGATGGCAGAGCGACAGTGCAAGACCACGGTGCAGGCGCTGCGCACTGATCGGGGTGGCGAGTTCCTGGGGCACGACTTCACGCTCTTCCTCGACGGTAAAGGCATCATCCATGACCTCACATGCCCGTACACGCCGGAGCAGAACGGGATGGCCGAGAGGGAGATGCGCAGCATTGTGGAGGCGGTGCGGACGATGTTGCTGCACATGGGTGTGCAGCATCACTGGTGGCACCTGGCGTTGGCTCAGGCCGTCTGGGTGCGCAACCGCGTGGAGCACGCCTCACTACCCTCTGGTGTGACGCCGTACGAGCTCGCCTTCCGACGCAAACCTGATGTCAGTATGGTGCGTGTTTGGGGCTGCATGCTGCAGTACATGGTACCACAGTCGCAGCATGGGGGGAAGCTGGCGCCTAAGGCTCGCTGGGGGTTGCACTTGGGTGTGTCAGCTGTGAGCAAGGGCTGGACCGTGCTGGACTTGGAGTCCAACCGCCTCATCACCACTGTGGAAGCTGTGTTCTATGAGACCATGTCCCTAGCAGGATGGAAGGCTTGGCATCAGCAGGAGCATGGGGGGCGTTCGATGCCCTATGAGCCCCTTCCCTCACTCTTCCCGATCACTCTCGAGGAGGCGGAGGAGGAGGAGGAGGTGGTCGCACCTCCTGCTATGCCCTATGTCCCTACCTCGGTCCCCACCCCACCTCCGCCTTCAGTCTACCCTCGTGTGATTCCCCCTGCCCCGCCTTCTTCCTCCTCACCCCCCTTGGCTTCCCCTCCTCCTCCTGTTATTCCATCTCCCCTTCCACCCTCCATCCCTCCTGCACCTGCTCCGCCCTCTTCTTCGTCTTCCACGGCGCCGCCCGTTGGTGAGGGGGGGATGGAGGTGCCACCGTCTGTGGAGATCACCGACGGGCAGCGCCTTGAGACTGAGCAGCTGCAGGACGAGAGCAGTATGGATGGAGTACAGCAGAGTGGGGGGCAGGAGACAGGGGAGCAGCAGACAGGGGAGCAGCAGATTGGGGAGCAGCAGACAGGGGAGCAGCAGATTGGGGAGCAGCAGACAGGGGAGCCGCAGACAGGGGAGCAGGAGATGTGGGGAATTAGAGATGGTGGTCGTGTGTTGGTTTCTGGGACGACCACTGCACCACTGCGTCGCTCCACTCGCACCACTCGTGGTGTCCCGCCTGTTCGATACGCTTGGGCTGTAGTGGTTGAGCCAGCGGGCTTGGATGACGAGGAGGAGGACGAGGAGTGGACTAACCTGGACCCGGACGTGGCAGCTGATCCTGAAAACCAGTGGGACATAGCGAAAATGACAGTGAAGGAGGCCTTGGGCTGCTGGAAGGGAGACAAGGTGAAGGAGGCGATGGATGAGGAGATGCGGAGCTTGATTGAGCAGGGGACGTGGGAGTTGGTTCCGCGTCCGCCAGGGGTGAATGTGATGAAGAACCGCTGGATTTTGAACACCAAGTTCCGACCTGATGGGATAGTGGAGCGTGAGAAGGCGAGGCTGGTGGTGAAGGGGTTCACGCAGGTGACAGGGGTGGACTATGAGGAGACGTACGCCCCTGTGGGAAGCTATGTGACGGCGCGTGTGCTTCTGGCGATTGCAGCTGCACTTGATTTGGACCTGATGCAGCTCGATGTGAAGAACGCGTTCCTCCATGGCGTGCTGGACCGAGACCTTTACATGGAGCAGCCGAGCTACTACGAGGATGGGACTCCTCGTGTCTGTAAGTTGGTGAAGAGTCTGTATGGGCTCAAGCAGAGCCCGATGCTATGGTATGAGGCCTTGGATGGGGTGCTGCTTGGGGCTGGATGGAAGAAGAGCAAGGTGGATGAGGCTCTGTACTTCAAGACTGATGCTGAGGGGGAGATGTGCTGGCTGCTGGTGTATGTGGATGACCTGCTTGCTGCCAGCCGCAGTCAGAGTATGCTAGCGGAGCTGCGTGACCTGCTGCAGAGTGCCTTTCAGCTGCGGGAGATTAGCCCTGTGGAGAAATATCTGGGGTTGCAGCTGATTCGGGACAGGCCCACGAGGAGGCTGTGGCTGCACCAGGGGGCCTATGTGGACAAGGTCCATAGGCGCTTCTTTGACGGGGAGCAGCCGCTGCGAGTGCCTCGCACCCCTCTTTCCTCTGACCCTTTCAGTGTGCAGACCTTCGAGGATGTGGGATGGCAGTCTCGCCAGGAGGAGGAGTACAGGCAGAAGGTGGGATCCTTGCAGTTCGCGGCCTGTACCACCCGTCCCGACATCTCGTTCGCCTGCACTAAGCTGGGGTCGGGCCAGACTGTGTGGAGTGATCAGCACTGGAAGGAGTTGGACCGGTGCTTGACGTACTTGGTGGGGAGCAGGGATGTGGCGCTGGAGTTTGGTGGTGGGCCGGAGTCCTTGGAGCTGGTGGGCTACGCCGATGCTGATGATGCAGGGGACAAGCAGAACAGGACCAGCACAGGTGGCTATGTCTTCGTGCTCGGGGGTGCTGCTGTCTCATGGGCGAGCCAGAGGATTCGTTGCGCCACCCTAACCTCCACTGAGTCTGAGTACGTTGTTGCTGTGGAGGCTGGGAAGGAGGCGCGCAGGCTGCGCTTCCTGCTGGCAGAGTTTCAACTGCTGAGGAGTGAGGAGCCCACGACTCTCTTTGTGGACAACTCCTCCGCCATTTCAGTGGCAGGTGGCATAGGGCTCAAGGGGAGCCTCAAGCACATGGAGCGTCGTCACATGTGGCTGCAGCACATGGTCAAGCGCAGGAAGCTGCAGCTGCAGTACATCCCTACGAGCGAGCAGCCTGCTGACTACCTCACGAAGGCATTGCATTTCCTCGCCTTCAGTCGTTGCTTCGAGGCTGTGGGGCAGGTGCGGCTCTCGAGCGAGGGGAGTGAGACCTAGACACTCCATGATGTGGATGGTGCCATGGCCTATCCATGGCTGGTGCGGTGCGTGTTTACACTTTGAGCGTGTTTCGTTTGTGTGTATCCCTTTGTTTTGGTGTGTATGTGTGTATGCATGCCCTGTGATTATAAAGGGCCTTGCTGTAGTATGGCAGGGGAGTGTTAGAGGGCCCTACGACAGCAAGGGCCCTCGATGACCTTTGACTTGGCAGGTCGGCGCCTAACGACTGAGTCTACTCGGCACCGACGCACGAGTTCGGTGGCGGTCATTAGTGACTACGGGTGACTGTGAGCTACTGCAGCGAACTCGGCGGAATCGGTGCTAGGAATGACGAGTCTTGGGGGTCGTAGGTGCCTTGCTTGTGAGGCACGCTGCTCACTTGCTGTGTTGGCAGGAGTAGCGTGCACGGTGAGACATTCCGGTGCCGAGTTGGGTTGGAAATGTGCGGGGCGCGTTCACCCACCTGCACAGCACTTTCGTGTGGGTTGGGTTACTCGCAGCGCCACGCAACAATTGTGCAACTCTTGCTTGCCTATATATGTTTGTGTTTGCTTGTGTGTTTGATAATTGATATTGCAATTCTACTTGGCCCAAATGCTACTTCAATTCTCACAAAGTCCTTAGAGGCAAACGCTACCAAAACTCTACCAAGTTGCTGGCGCAACATCATTCCCATAGCAGAGACTCTCTCGCTATCGCTACGCTCTCTAATATATTCCTTCACCCCACGCGCATTCAATCCACTCCCCCACGCGCATTCAATCCACTCCCCCACGCGCAGTCAATCCACTCCCCCACGCGCATTCAATCCACTCCCCCACGCGCATTCAATCCACTCCCCCACGCGCATTCAATCCACTCCCCCACGCGCATTCAATCCACTCCCCCACGCGCATTCAATCCACTCCCCCACGCGCATTCAATCCACTCCCCCACGCGCATTCAATCCACTCCCCCACGCGCATTCAATCCACTCCCCCACGCGCATCCAATCCACTCCCCCACGCGCATTCAATCCACTCCCCCACGCGCATTCAATCCACCCCCACGCGCATTCAATCCACTCCCCCACGCGCATTCAATCCACTCCCCCACGCGCTTTCAATCCACTCCCCCACGCGCTTTCATGAATGGCCAGCACTGTTGTGAGAGCACGCGCACGCGTATGTATCCCGTCAACTCTGCTCGACTAAGGCCCCAGGAAAGACGCACCCCGAGGAGCGTGAGCGAGCATGTAAAACACAGCGGCCGTCGTGAATTGGCCTCCGCTCCGAGGCACGTGAGGGTGTTTATGAGGCGCCTTAAGAACAGAGTTAGCACGAAGCTTGAGCGCTCGGCTGAGGGGCACGGAAGCAAGGAAAGACGTACCTGGAGGAACGTGAGCGAGCATGTAGAACACATCGGCCGCCGTGAGAGGTGCCCTCTGAGACACGCTGTGAGAGATGCAGCTGTCCTTTCGGATGGCTCGATCAAGGTGCATAAAAGCAAGGAGAGGTGCAGCGCACCTCGAGGAGAGTAAGCACGTAGAACACAGAGGCTGCGGTGAGTTGACCTCCGAGGCACGTGAAGGTGGCGAAGGTGACGAGGGCGACCACGGAGGTGAATGAGAAGTAGAGCGCAGCCGTCACGGCGTTGAGGGCGGCTGTCCACTGCAGGCTGGTAGACGGGAGGGGAAAGGGAGGATGGAGGGGATTAATAGACGACTCAAAAGCAACCACGGAGGTGAATGAGAAGTAGAGTGCAGCCGTCACGGCGTTGAGGGCGGCTGTCCACTGCAGGCTGGTAGAAAGGAGGGGAACGGGAGGATGGAGGGGATTAATAGACGACTCAAAAGCAACCACAGAGGTGAATGAGAAGTAGAGTGCAGCCATCATGGCGTTGAGGGCGGCTGTCCACTGCAGGCTGGCAGAAGGACGGACGGGGCGGATGGAGGGTGCAGGGCAGGGAGGTGGAGGGATGCTTTTTTAGGCGGCTCAAAAAGCGTCCATCACGGCGTTGAGGGCGGCTGTCCACTGCAGGCTGGCATAAGGAAGGGCGGGGCGGATGGAGGGGAGTATTGGGGCGCCTCAGAAGCAACCAACGAGGTGAATGAGAAGACGAGGGAGCCAATGATGATTCTGATTAGGAGCGGAGTCAATGACAAGGACTGTTCGAGAGAGAGAGGGGTTCTGCTTTTGAGTCGACTCAAAAGTGGACGGAAGGAGCGAATGCTGATTCTGATTAGGTGCGGAGTCAATGACAAGGACTGTTTGAGAGCGAGGGGGGGTGGAGGGGCGGGCGAGGGTGAGAGGGACGAAAAGGGAGAGGAAAAGGCTTGGAACAAATGAGGGAGGGGTGGGAAGGGGATAGGGAGGGCAAAAGTGGTGGGAGTTGGAGGGGGATGGACTCACAAGGACACTTCTGTGCGTCTGATTCGTTGGATGATTGATGTGAGCGGCTCCTCCAGAGCCAGTGTCTTCACAGTCAGGATGCCGCCCAGAGCCTGTTGTGGGGCAAGGAAATGGGTGAGTGGGTAGGTGGGGTTGTTGGGTGAGTGAGAGGGGACGAGAATTGAAGGATGTTAGGAGCATGCCTTCCAGAGCCAGCGTCTTCACAGCCAGGATGCCGCCCAGAGCCTGTTGTGGGGCAAGGAAATGGGTGAGTGGGTAGGTGGGGTTGTTGGGTGAGTGAGAGGGGACGAGAATTGAAGGATGTTAGGAGCATGCCTTCCAGAGCCAGCGTCTTCACAGTCAGGATGCCGCCCAGAGCCTGTTGTGGGGCAAGGAAATGGGTGAGTGAGTGAGTGAGATCGGACGGGAGTTGAAGGATGTTACGAGGGGAACACAAGGCAGGCACGTGAGAGGCCAAGGATATGCCATACTGCAGTGCAATTCCAATGACAGGTCGAGAACATATCTTTCTAACTCCTCTCGTCCCCTCCCTCACCCAACCCCTCTCCTCCCCTCCCTCACCCAACCCCTCTCCTCCCCTCCCCCATCCAACCCTCCTCGTCCCCTCCCCCATCCCCACTCTTTCCCTCTCCCTCCTCCCCAACCGCCCACCTCTTCTGTGTGCTTGACGCGTGCATCAGTGGCCTCCGCAGTTTTTGCCCGCAGCCACACCCTCCACTTCCCACATGCCAGCTGGTATTGCTCGGTTGTTTGGGAGGGAGAGAGCAGCGTGCATGTGGGAGAAAGGAAGCAGCTGACAAGGTGTGAGGGGGCAACCAGGCATGCTTGCATTGCAGGCACAGGCACACTAGCGAGGGGACATTCTTAGCCTTGTAGCACCCAGCTTCCACTACACATATAAGGACCATTTGAGAAAGAGAGAGGGGGGCCAAACCACGAATGCCAGTGACAACCACGCACCTGGAGCGGAAGCAGCAGCAGATGCGTGCCAATGCCAGCGATGGTGGGCACCCATCCGATCGATATCCCTCAATATCAGCCACGTGACAACCACAAGCTCTACCATAGCCAAGTTTCAGAGGACGAACCTGTAGCGGAAGAAGCAGCAGTTGAGTGGCAATGCCAGCGATGGTGGGCACCCATCCAATCTCCCTCGCTACCAGCCACGTGACCAACACAAGCTCAATTGGAGCCTGCACAACGACGGAAACAGGAAAGCAATACGTACGCAGGGAGTCTGTATTTCCGCGCCTCACAATCAGCCAGGTGACACTGACAATCACGAGTTCTATTGGGGCCTGCGTAACAACGGAAACAGGACAGCAAGACAAGCAACCAGGGACGCAGGCACACAGGAATACGGAGAATGTGTGAAGTGAAGGCAGGCAGTCAGTCACAAGAAAGGCAAGCAGCGTTGCTCGAATGGGTTTAGGGTAAAGGCAGCCGCATTGTTCTTGACCTTGCTCCTATCCACTCCCTCTTCTCGTCTCCTTCACCCACCACCGCAGACCCCACTCCATGCCACTCCATTCCAAAGCCCTTCCCCAGACAGCCCCATTCCCCATCCCCCATCCCTGGCACCACTCCCAATCGTGCACTTCGCCTCACCACCCAGAGCGCCTGGCTGCAGAACACCAGGTCGTCCAATCGGCGCACGTCATTGGACAGCAGGTTGATACAGTGCCCACTGCTGACGTGGCTCAGCGCGCTGGCGGTGAGTGTGAGGAGGTGGCGGTGCACTGCAGGGGAAGAGAAGGAGATGGAACGTGTGGGAGGGAAGGGGAGGAAGACCGGTGTGGGGAGAACAGTTGGGGGAAGGGTGGGGGGATGGGCGAAAATAAGCAAAAGCAGTTTGGCCGAGTTTGGGTGGCAGAGGCTGGGAGCTTGGGCTGCGGGTGGAAAGGTATAGGACTAGAGACAACAACACGGGGAGTGGGAGAGGAGGAAGCGGATGGGGGCAAGGGGGACAGTTGGGGGAAGGAGGTGAGGGGATGGGCGAAAAGCACCAGAGGGATTCTGACCAATGTGGATGGGACTTTTGAGTCGACTCAAAAGTCGAGTCGACTCAAAAGTCACCTTCTGACCCAAAAGTCACCTTCTGACCCAAAAGTCACCTTCTGACCCAAAAGGTGTGGATGGCAACCTCACCTGCGCTGATGGCAGCGGTGCGAGTGTTGGTGGAGAGGAGACAACATATGCGCAGTAGCACAACTGTTGGGTCACCTTAGCCAGCGCCACTGCCACTTTTGAAGCGACTCATAAGCTCCCTCTTCTTACCTGCGCTGATGGCGGCCGTGCGTGTATTGGTGGACACAACATATGCGCGGTAGCACAGCTGCTGGGTCACCACTGCCAGCGCCACCGCTAGTGCGCCCAGCCCTGCTGCTGTGAGATAACCCTCGGTGGGGCCGCACTGCCCTTCCCCGCTGCTGCTGCTGCTGCTGTCACTGCCGCCGCTGCTGTCACACCCTTCCAGGTAGGTGACCTGGTGGAGGGGTCGGAAGGGGGAGGGGAGACGTATGCGCGGTAGCACAGGTGCTGGGTCACCACGGCCAGCGCCACGGCCAGTGCGCCCAGCCCTGCTGCCGTGAGATACCCTTCAATGGACCCGCACTGCCCTTCCACACAGCTGCTGCCGTCACTGCTGCTACTGCTGTCACACGCTTCCAGGAAGGCGATCTGGTGGAGGGCAAGGAGGGGGGACGGGAGATTGATGGGAGGGTGAGCGCGAGTGGGGGAAAGGAGAGGAGGGGTATGGTTATGGGAATGATGAGGTGTAAGAGACTCTCTGTTCACACAATACGCACATTCACACATGCATGCACGCACTCACTATGCGATACAGAAGCACGGCCTTGACGACATGCAGCATCGACTCCCCGAGAAACATCACTGCGAGCAGCAACAGCGCCCACCGGTGCGGCCAATACAGAACAGCCCAAAACGGCCACTTCCCTCTGCCCCTGCCCCCTGCCTTCCATCCGCCCGACACCACCAACTGACCGCTTCCCCTCCCCGCCCGCCTTTCCCCCTGCTCCCCTTCACACTGCTCGTCCTCCTTCCGCCCCCTCTCCTCCCCCTCCCCTTCAATATACTCCTCCTCCTTCCGCCCCCTCTCCTCCCCCTCCCCTTCAATATACTCCTCCTTCCGCCCCCTCTCCTCCCCCTCCCCTTCAAAATACTCCTCCTCCTTCCGCCCCCTTCCCCCCTGCTCCCCGTCCATGATGCATGCCGTTTGCGCGTCCAGCCAATCCGCGCGCCAGGTGCGCGGGGGTGGGGGGAGGTCCGCCAGCTGCAGCGTTGTGTGCGCGCCCAGGCGCATAATGGGGGTCACCTGCTCGCATGATTGGTTGGTTGATTTCAATGTGCATGGGGAAGGGAGGGGGAAAGGGGGGGGGAAGGGAGGGGCGGCGGGAGGTCCGCCAGCTGCAGCATTGTGTGCGAGCCCAGGCGCATTGTGGGAGTCACCCGCGCGCGGCATTGGTTGGTTTCATTGTGCATGGGGAAGGGGAGGGGGAAGGGGAGGGAGTGGGCGGAATTGGGAATGAGAGGCCCGCTGACGCTGGTAAGCTGCCTAAGCTACGCCGAAGGAAGCAAGGAAGAAAGCGAGTGACTTGGATGCAACCGGGCAGCAGCCAGCCGAGCAGGCAGCGCATGACTTTTGAGACGTCTCAAAAGTCGAGCAGGCAGCACATGACCCACCCATGCGAACGTCAATGCTGACCACAGACTCGGCTCTCCGTCGTCTCTCTCGCCTTCCTCCGCCTCCTCCTGGATATCACCAACAGCAGCAGCAGGAGCAGCAGGAGCAGCAGGAGCAGGGGCAGGAGCAAGAGCAGCATTGGTGCCGTGGCCATCACCCGCGGCTGTCGCTTCATCTGCCGCCGATGCGCCGCCAACATTTTCGCGATTGTCGCATGCCCCTGCGAGCAGCAAGCGTCCTTCCTCCTTGTCGCAAATGTCGCCGGTAGTGGTTGTCGCGTCGTCGGAGTAACGCGCCTCGCTGACGCTCCGATCAGCGGCCGCAGCATTGCTGGTTCGCTGCAGCTGCATCTGCGGTCGCTGGTCCAATCCTAGAGATATTGTCATCTCGCCTCCGTCCGTTGAATCGCAATTTGGGGGACACGGGGTGGGGTGCTGCTGAGGCGAATCGCCTCGACTGTCGATGTCGACAGAGTGGTTCATCTCAAAGGGAAGGTTTGGATGAGAGGGAAACACCTGGCCCCCCCTTGGGATGAATGACGCCGAGCAACGGAATGGGTTGCAAACTGGGCGATGTTCGGCAGCCAGGGGAGAGGGTTTGAGGGAGGATCAAAATGCCGGGCCACCAGGTTCGACCTTGGAGAACCAGGCAAAACAGTGCAGTCAGGACAAGAAAAATGTGAAAAACAGTCCGAACGTGGGCCTTCAATGCGACGCGAACCCCATGCTAGAGTGTCGCCCGCGCCGCATCCCCCCCACAACCCCCCCCTTGGCGGAAAGCCTCCGCACTAGAGGGGGGGAATGAAACTTGGATTCCCTGGCCTGCCGCTCAAAACCGAAGAATCCAGCCAGATCCCGCGGTCAATCCCCTCCTATCGAACATGGCATTACCCTGAAAAGAAAGTAAAAAACAAAAAGGTATCCCACCCAACTTCCCTCTCAACATTCGCCACTCGACATCTATCTCTCAACTTCGCTCCCTCTACCGCACTTATCTCCTTCCATCCCTATTTATCAGCCAGGCTATAGTCGCCATTTGCCAACCCATCACGGCGTCACACCGCCAAAGGTGAGATCGATCACGTATGCGTACAGTGTGTCGGGCATTTGTTTTTGGCATGCGACAACCCTTTTGTAGGGTGGAAGTTTCTCTTCCTGTACGGTGCAGCTTCCATCCCCCCCCGCCATCTCGTTGTTTCCATCCCGCGAGCTCCCCTCGACTCTCCGCTTGCGCCAAGACCTCGGACGTGGGGTCAACTCTGGTGGACCCAGAGTTGACCCATCCAACTAGGGGCGAGGCTGGTCATTTTGGATCCCTCGCCCCAACCCCCCCAGTATTCCCTGGCCTGCCGAACATCGCCCTGGGCTCGACATGCAGGGGCCAGCGACGCCAGCGACGGATGCAAAATCCGTTGAGGTATCCCCGAGAGAACATCTCAACGGGGTTAGGGTTTTTCGACAGCAAGCCTGAGAATTCAGGGTTCGTTTCAACTCAGCTCAGAGATTTTCAGGGTTGGTATTTTCCTGGCCCGTATTCCTAACTGGTTTCGCTGAGAGAAACCCGAGAAGGACATCTCAGCGGACAAAAACTCACAGCACGCCACGTCGAGCCGCGATTTCAGCGCGGGAACTCGACTGTGCGCCCAAATTTGTCGGTGGCCGATCCACGCGGCGAAAATATGCCCGTAAAAAAATGTTACAGTTGTCTGGCATCGCGAGCTGCTCGCCATATCGGTGTCGACTAAGGATCCAACGGCCTAATCCAAGCCATTCGGCACCATCGGTTAGTGCCTTAACACTGTCTAGGTTAAAGGAATCTAAAGACACACCCAAAGGAAAGTCGGCGCCGACCACGAGGGGCTCACGGTGGGCTTGCCACGCGGCTCTTCAATAATCCCGGGCCCTTAGGCCATGGAAGTCGGCATGCCGGCTTTTCTGCAGAGAAGCACTAATGATGGGCCCACGCCACGTAACGCACGCACATTCCACCGTGGACGTGCCCAGGCTTACGCCCCTTGAGTGCAGCGCGGCGACCCATTAGCCATGCGTGGCTCGTGACACGTCGGACACTGCGCCGCCGCACGAAAACACATGCATAGCGGCACAAGCATAGGGGGTTGCGTGAAGCGCTGCAAAATCGGAGTCGCTCACGACCATACCCCTCCGTGACCTTGCGCTGGTGCTCATTCCCTTGTCCGTTCCTGCGTTCCCTCCTGCTCTCTCTTGCACTTAGAATTTTCCGCTCCCTAGCTATCTTCACGAGTGTGGGTTACTCGTGCGCCGACCAATCGATCACGTCGGCACCGGTAGCGTCTACCTGGCATACACTACTCAGGTCGGTGTTTAGGTAACCGAACGGTCAGAACGCGTCGACGTCGACGTCGGATGTTTTAGGGCAGCATCTCGGCATAGTATCAACAGCTCTACCGACCAAGCAAGACGGGACGACAGAAACTAACTAGGTCGGCGACGCATGGCCAGAGGACGGCCTAGAGCCCAACAGCCGCAACCCATCCCACCCCATGCCGACTCTGTAGACGCCGACATCAAAGCGCAGCTGGAACGCCTCGAGCTTGCCGCTGAGTTAGAAGCACTTGAGAGAGAATCCGACGAAGACGCCTGAGCAACTCATCGGGTGTACACTGCACCCGCGACTCAGTACCGTCTCTGGTGGTCCATCCTTTACCTCAAACACGGTCGACGGTATAGCAAACTACGAGCGGCCGCATGGCCGACGTCGACATGGCCGACGTTGGTCCCCCAACCGACCACAATCAGACCTCTACCCCCGAAGAGACGCTCAAGTTACTCTACGATCTTGACGCACTGATACAGATTCCAGAAGGCACCAAGGACATTCCCCCACCGCCGATAGGGGAGTTTATGAAGCCAGCTAGTAAGTCGACCCTGACGCAAGATGGGCAGCCTGGACCTTCGTCGGTACCTGCCGGCTCAGGAAACCAGGTTGATGACGAGGAGGAGGAGGAGGAGGAGGAGGAGGAGGAGGAGGAGGAGGAGGAGGAGGAGGAGGAGGAGGAGGAGGAGGAGAGCAACGATGCATACGACGAGCGTCCTCCGCGTAGCACGAATCCGCGCACCTTGGAAGAATTGTTGGTGCAACCCTACGGTTTGCACTCGGCTTGTTGTCCGTGTGCGTGAATGTGTGTGTGTATGGAATGGTATGAGGGCATGGGATAATATATATTTCATGCTTATAATTGTGTGTGAATGTTGAGTCATGATGTCGAGTGTGTGTGTCGAGTCAATAGCGAGTTATCGCTAGACGCGTGTTACGCGGTCGTTTGTGTCTCGCGCGCGGTTTCTATTTTGTCGTGCGCGGTTTCTATTTTGTCCTGTGTCGAACGTTCGGCGTGTCGCAGGTGTGTGCAGCAGACCCATCAAGAACTCAAGGATGAGTTTGTGATGAAGAGCCCGAGCCTTGGTGTCAAGCCTCAAGTGATTTCGAAGCTCGCCAAAAGGGTACACCTCAAGATATTGAAGATAGTTACATTACTTTGTGTAGTGTAACATTTCACTTGGTGTAGGCCCTAGTGAAGGGTAGTTTCGAGACCCTTCGTGGTTGGGGACAGTGTGGCACTGTTCCACATCACTGTACCTCGGCTCTTGGGGTTTGTAGGAGCTGGGAGTCATTCCCAACTCGTAACTCTTCCTATCTTGTGTTCTAAGACTATAGTGGCTGCCATAGTACCGTTCGTTCAAACCGACGCTGTGTCGTCAATTCTTTATCAAATCGTGCAATCTAAATTGATAATTGTAGACGACGTGAAGACGCTCCAGATCCAATTTGAGTCAAGTCATTTGCAGCTGTGAGCAGAACGCTATCAACGTTTGAAGCCGCTATGCAGAAATCCGTCTGTGCTCTCTATCTTTCGTTTTAGGCACATTCAAGCCTATTGTGACTATAACAAGTGGTATCAGAGCCCCTTGGAGCAGTTTCGACAATGTCTGGACCTGAGGAAAGGGGTGGCAGAGGTGCTGGTGGCAGTGGAGAAGCTCAAGCTCAAGGCCAACCCCGTGATTCAGCCATGGCGCCCATGCAACCAAGTCTTGGCCCACCTAGGGATGAGCCTAGGGTGTTTGGGCTTGACAAGTTCAACGGTGACAACTTTGCTGAATGGTCCTTCAAGATGGAGAACATCTTTGACCACTATGACCTGCTGGAGGTGATGGAAGGAACGGAGAAGCGCCCCGAGAACGACCCGGAGAAGAGCCCGTGGGTGCGGAAGAGCGCACAAGGCTATCTCTTACTTGGGCAAGCGTTGGGGAGCAGTCAGATCCGTCACATCAAGCCATTCCAGCGTGAACCAGAGAAAGGACCAAAGGCATGGGCTGCTCTCAAGGGTGTACATGCTCCTGCAACAGCGGCGGTAGCGGTGGTGTTGGAACGGCAAATGGCGGCACTACGAATTGAAGAAAACGAAGCGGTTGAAGAAGGGGTGCAGAAATTCTTCGACTTGTTGACGCGGCTTGAGGGAGCTGATTTGAACTACAGTGAGCTCCAAAAGAAGACCATCAACCTTAATCGCGACTTGCCCCGCCTCTCGCTTGAAGACGTGAAGCGAGCTATCCTTCAAGAGGATTTCCGCCGCCGTGAGTTGGCGAGTGCGGATGGCGCTGGGGCAGCGAGCATCGGCCGTGGATATGGTCGAGGAAGAGGCAGAGGACGAGGGGGAGGAAGGTTTGGTGGCAGCAACTTCGGCGGAGGCCGCAGGAGTGGCGGTTACGGCAGCGACGACAAGAGCTACGGACGCGGTCGCG